TGTTGTAACTATAGTAGCCATGCTTTGAGTATATTTCTTTTCCCTAACAGTTCTGTTCTTTATGTTTTCAATCTCTGTTTAAACACTCTCATTGACTGTAGTTTAATTATGAAAACACTGCAAATCCTTTCTGGAAACTGGCATAGGATGCCGTAAAAGAAAATACGTTCTATTTTCTCGATTATAAAAAGTAAAGTAGTTGAAATTTATGTCTCTTTGAAGATCTAACAAGCTATAAAATTAAGCACACTGGGAAAAATGCGGAGCCATGTTTTCTGATGCTTTCCCAGACTCTTGGCAGGAGAGGAATCCATGAGGAGACACAGATATTGATATACATCAGACATGGAGGAGCACAGTTTTCAAAATTCACTTCCCTTTCAGAGCACAACTCGGTGAGGATAAATATACCCATACACGCATACACGCATTGCGCCGTCTTAAAAGTTCACCAGGGAAGTTTAATATCAGCATCTGGGAAGGCCAGAAAGCCCTAGGCTTGTGATATAGAAAATGTGTGTCTCTGCCTCTGCAGAAAAAAGTCAGACCTGAATCTAAGCTTAAGACGTGATGGGGAAGAATGATATGATATCTAGGTATCTATCTATCTAGGTATCTGTCTATCTATCTATCTATCTATCTATCTATCTATCTATCCATCTGTCTATCTATCTAGGTATCTATCTATCTATCTATCTATCTATCAATCATCTATCTATCTATCTATCCATCTATCCATCTATCTATGTATCATATCTAGGTAAGAATGATATCTAGGGCAGGGACTTGCTACTTGGCCTGGAAGACAGAGATACAAAGCCTTAGATTAAAGACTCAGCAATGCATGTGGTCTCATTCAAGAGAGAAGAAAGGAAGGTGACCGCAGACAACCCAAACAGAGAGAGATTCTGCCTGGAATACACTGGAACTGTGGCCAGCTTTCTGGTGCTAACTACACTTTTGTGCCTCTGAGGAGCATGGATTCACGTCTCTGTGCACAGTAGACACGTTCTAGCCTCCTGCACATGCTAGCTTAGCTTTAGATAATATTCTTTTCATTCTTTTTTTTGTTTGTTTTAAATCCAAAATGGTGATTCAGTTTCCGTTGGTCTTGGCAGAAGTCTTTCTTTTGGATGCTATTATAGAGGAGGTTTAACAAATTTATTTTGAGCATTAGGCTGTCTTGTAAGAAAATAGCCACTTCTGTAGTTAACAGAAGAGCATTAACAGCTCTTAAATTGGGCTCAGAATGAGAGGGGTACAGCACTAATGTCACATCTGGAAAAATGAGTGGATGACAATTGCTGCTTCCTTCTGGTGGGAGAGCCCGTGGACATTTGTTTAACAAGGGAAGTTGCTGTGACATCAAATGAATTGGGAGCAGAGAGCAGACTTCTAGGCATGCGAGTCATTCAGTTCCTGTTTTCCCTCTCTGGAGAGTTTAGAACATGTGGAATAGAAATCACCAGGACAATAACACATTGATTCTCCACTGGACTCTTTCACGGTTTCCAAACTCTGTGTGCCAAAACATGGGAAAACAAAAATCCTACCGGAAGTTTGGGAAAGTTGAGAAACACATTCATTGAAATGATTTCGAATGCACTATATCTCAAGAAGACCATGCATGAATATCACATGTAGCTGAAGTACGTTCTAGAAGGGTTTACAGTATTAGGTTTGCAGTTCACTATGGATTACCAGCTACCATTAACATTTGTGTTGCTATCTTTTATTTGGATTTGAAAAAGCATATATGTTGAATCATATAACCTTTAACATGTTTGCATTTTTCTTTATTTTGTGTGCACATCTGTATTTCTGCATCCGCATATGTGTGTGCAGTTTGGAGTTAGAGGGGAATGTGCAGGATTATGTTCACTCCTCCCCTTGACGGGTCCTGGTGATCACACTCATTAGACTAGGCAGCAAAGGCCTTTGCCCGATCAGACCCTTCGCTGGCCCTCAAACATTACACGTTTTATCGCACGAGATTTTCTTTGAGATTTTGTAGGTTGATCTGTTGTCAAACTAGAAAAATCTGGAGCACGCTGTCTGACCTGATCATTTCCGCTTGGAAATGTTCTCTTTCCTTCCCGTGTCCATTGAAGAGATGACATTAAGATGGAAACAATTTGTGCAACCCACATGTACTGAGGTGTGGGGCCACTGTTGGGGCATGGGAAACCCAGGTCTTATCCCCAAGGAGAGCTCCTTTTCCTTCCTCAACCACCATCAACAGCTGGACTCAAGGGTTATTAAGAAGAAGAACAAATGGAGGATGTGATCTTGGGAGGATGATGGGGCAGAGGTTACTGGGAGAGGTTGGGGGAGGGCAGGTAATGGTGGATGGCAGGTTCAAAACATAGTGTTTAAATGCACGAACACTTCCAAAGCAGAGAAAGGATAAAATATATTATTGAAAATGAAAAAAAAAAACAAAACTGAACTAAGATAGTGGTAACATCGTAGGCTCACTGAAGTCAAATATGTGTATATTTGGGGTAGAAATCCAACCCTCTGCCCTTCCTTGAAGTTGAATTGTTATGTGCAACCTAAGAGATGGCGAGGCTGGCAAGCTCTATGCTGGTATTTGCTGGTACAGACGTGGACAGTCATAGACATTGCGCAGGATACCGGCAAACCTCAAGGGTCCCTTGCTGAGGATGAGAATCCTCAGAGAAAGACTTGATTTCTCATCCGTCCAATGGTGGACGATTCACGGAAGAAGACAGTCATAAGAGACATCATTTTTGAAGAGTTTTTTTCAAATGAACGAGTTTTCCCAGGTGGTATAAAGTTATTACAAGGGCAAGTCGCTGATAATATCATAAGATAGCTGTTTTCAATACGTATAATATTCATTTTTGGATCTATTAAAATCTTAGAGCTTATATACTCTTAGATACTGATTTTCACTATCATATTTTATTACTTTTAATACGTATCTATGGATCAGCATATCTGGACGGTGTACTTTTGGGAATACTTGTCCTGATAAATGTTTTACAAAATGTGCTATTTTTCAAGAATTTTGATGAATGCTGTACACTATAAGAGATCATACGTATTTAAAAAGATGACTGTAGTACTGTGAATTTTTTTTTAAAAAGAGATTTTTACATGTGTGATACATTATGAATTAAGTTGTGATTTTTTGACATTTTCTTCCACCTTTTACGGAAGGAGGGAATGAGAACTGGGATGTACTCATGACTTGATGTTACAAGTGGGTAAAGGCAATTACACAAGGATTCGTGGTATCATATTACCTGCTTTTCTGTGAGATTTCACACATTAGAAATTACTACTAAAAAGTAAAATAAAATGGCCCTTCACATCCACGAACTCTACATTCACAGATTCAACTAACTGTGGACCAAAAACATATGTAAGTTAGTTGTGTCTTCTAGAATATGTACAGAGAATTTAAAAAGAAACATCATTTGTTTTCATAGACTTTACATTGTATTAAGTATTATAAATTATCTAGAGATTATTTTAAGACATAGGAAAGATGTGCATAGGTAATATGTAAGCTTCCCTTCACTTTATATAAGAGACTACAGTATCCTCAGGTTTTGATATTTGTAAAGGGCTGGAACGAATCCCAGAACCTATTCTCTGAGAGATGATTTTACATAAAACATGTATATTTATAAAGATTGTATAACGGAAGCAAGAGCAGAGAAGAGTGCCGGGAGAAGGTCAATTGTTTATCATAACGCTCCCTAAACATACTGAATACTAGTATTTTCTTTGCAAGGAGAATCTATTAATATCTCTAGTGGTGCTTTGGGGATGGTTATGATGTACATATATAATAGAACCAATGTGTATCCATTGCATAACTGATCGTCTCAAGCCTTCTATAGGTTTTGAAAACATTAAGGTAAAATATGCAAAAGTTAAAAAACTCTTATGCTTACATTCTGATATGGGCAAAAAATTAAACTATCACCAGGTATTTATTTATGTTATAATACTAACTATCACGAAATGAAATGGAAAAATAAAAATAGAAGGATGAACACTGGTGCATATTTTGAAGGACAAGAAGCAATAGTTTTAGTCTGAATCTTAGTTATAACATTGATTACAAATGTTCAGTAGCTAAACAAAAACTTCTGTATAAAAATCCCTTGAAGCTGGGCACGGTGGTGCACACCTTTAATCCCAGCACTCGAGAGGCAGAAGCAGGCAGTTCTCTGTGAGTTCCAGAACAGCAAGAACCACATAGAGATTCTGCCTCAAAACAGCATAAACAAACAAACAAACAAACAAGTAAGTAAGTATTTCTTGAATACTTTTACCAAGCTCAAAACTTTTATTCTCATTATTTTACCTTAAATTCCCATAAATTACAGGCATCTGCTAAAATGCCAATCATATATCTCCAATAGCCATTTCTCACTGTAGGAGAAGTAAATTAGGTAGCATTGTTATTACTCAAAATAAATTCCATAGTTACTGAATGAGATTTATGTTTTCACATAAAGTTGATCATAACTTTGCATTCTGGAATCTAAATAAATGAAACGTGCTAGTTACTTAAAAAAAATATGCATCCATTTTAGTTCTGCGTGCAGACAGAAGTGACTTGTGTCAGGGCTTGTAGGTGTCTTTCCTCTCAGAGACCGGCAAGCTTTCGACTGTTGACTTTTAAGAGAATTCAAACAAGAGTCTTTGCCTCTATTACAATATACTGCCAAAGCTCGCATTAATTTCCAGGGATGCCCATTAATTTGATCAATGTTTTGTCATTTGTACCATTTGCACTGTCAAAACAACTCAACTCTATCTCACTGACATCTTTGACAGTTGCCTTAACTCTGGCAAGAGAAAAGTGCGTCTTATTTGCGTCAATGAAGAGTCTTCCTGCCCGTTTAAAGCCTGCACAAAGACGATAGGGGATATGGCGCTCAGGTTAGGACAAAAGGCAGGCAGTGGAAGACCATCACACAAAGGCTCACATTTTACTAGGAGGAAAGTTTACGAACCTGCATAATCCGTTCTCGCATAATGCCCATCTTCAGATTTAGTGGTTGCAGTTGTGTTATCTATTAAGAAATTAACAACAAGAGCCGGTTAACCATTGCCCACGGATCTATCAAATTCACGTTTCCAACAGTATCTTCACCTCTTCGTCGCGGGTGAGGCTCTGTTGGTTCCCTCACCGCCACCAGCAATAATGGAACCTCAGTTATGTTCTAGAGCACTCTTGTATGGAGGCAGACTCTCAATGCACACATGTGTTTGTGAGAATAACACAACAGAGTCGGCTTTCTGGAGTTTGGGACAGACTGTAACTGAGATAGATACATTCAATAAATGAAAAATAAGTCCAAGCTCCCTAAGCCATTTCCTCTGAATCACAAAACAGAAAATGCGACTATATTCGGCTTTTAAGGAGGTACTTAATATATTTCTACTGAATCAATCTATGAAAGGAGTGATTCGATTTAACTCCAATGTTCCTAATCAATTCTTAAATTCTTGACCAGACTTTCTCTTTAGCTTTTGCCAGGAGAATGTCTGTGATCTTCTGAATACTGACTCCTGTTCATGGCCTTGTGACAGTACTGTCCCATTATACTGAAAAAGGCATGCACTTTTGCTTATGGGCCCTCAAACACCTATGATCAACACAAATTCTACAGCTGACTACGCGATCCATCGTGAATCAGAACTGTCTTTTGGCTAGGAAATAGCTCCCTAATAAGGAGCTATCTTCACTTTTTTCATTTCTACACAGAGACTAAAAACATTCTTTGAGATGAAATTTTGCTCCGAACAGTACCTTGACATCGACCCAGAGACATGACTTCAATTTTCTCCTGTTTCTGACATGATGCTTCTTTGATTTGACACGCGTTATCATAAGACTTCCCGTCAGAAGCACAGAGGGGGTTGAAGTTGGTTTGAGAACAGTCAATGTTGCATACACACCTAAAGGAAGAGAGAAATGAGATGTAGGAAGTCAATAGTGGCATTACCATGATACAGATGAGAGAAACGCTAGCTGGACAAAATGCCCCAGAATCAAATTGTCCTCTTGCAGAGAAGTTCTGGCAGGTTTCTGGGATGAAAATGTTAACACCGAACTAATAACAACAAAGAATCCAGAGGACCTAGCAGTGAATCGAAAATAAACGTGTATAAATCTCGCCAGGTTGTTTAATGAATTTAGATAGGATACTGCAGCAGAACTGCTTTGGAAGTTGCAGGAACACATTGCTGTACTTCTTCATGGACTGGCTAAATGGCGGGAGTGGGGGAAAAAAAATGTCCCGAGGGCCAGTAAAACAGAAAGTCAAGCACATTATGTGGAATGCCATCAATCTAAAGGAGAATAGGCATGAAATGTTGCAAATGAGAATCTTTAGTGGCCCTCAACCCTTTGAGAGAGCCACAAACACCCTTTGAGATTGAAGAGGCAGGTGTAGATAGCCTCTCAGAAAGCCCACACCCTATAAACAGTATTTACACGGAATTGCATGGGTTTCTCAGGTTTCACTCAACACATCCCAAGATCCTTTTCCAAGGTATACAACTTCTATTTTTAGCTCTTATTTTACATAATAAAGTGACACTTTCAAATTGGTCGCCGCTCATGGCTTTCACATATTTTTTTCCCCTTAGAGGCTAAAGAAACATCTGGTGAATTAAAGAAAATTTAGGTCGCCTAAACTGCAATCAAATATTGTAAAACAAACTTTATAAAATCATTTTCGCTGTTCTCTTAATTCTGTTATATGATCTACTTTGTTTTGGGAGGGGGATATTGCAGTTTGGTTAAGAGTGCTTGCTGCTCTGGTGGAGGACCCAATGCCTACACAGTGATTCTCTCTCTCGCTCCCTCTCCCTCCTTCTTAGAGACAGGGTCTTGGGAAGTGCAGGCTGGCCTGGATATCACTGTATAGCCATGTCCCCAAATTTCTGATTCTCCTGTCTCTTCTTTTCAAGTGTGAAATTAGAGGCTTGTACCATCGTATCCTATTTTACGTGGCGTCGATAATGGAATCAAGGGCTTGATTGCATGGCAGGAAAGAACTTTACCCAATGAACTGTTTTCCCAGTCACTTACTGGTTTTGTGGGAGCTGCCACCGAGACATGTTAGAGTGGCCCGGGGCCTGTGGAGTACGAGGAGAAAGAAAACTGAGAGGATTCTGAGCATCAGCTCTTTCAATGTTTCCATTAGATTAGTGAACTCTGATTCTATAATCATTGCTTACTGTATGTTGTATATTTAACTCTGCGAATTTCAGTAATGACCACAACAGGCAGGGTACTAAGGCCTTTCTCTGAATTTCTAGTACGTTCTTCTTTTATAATGACCGAATTATCTTCATTTTTTGCTAAGTATTTTAGGCATATCGGCTTTCAATAACTACATGTTGGTAAACAAATGTAATGAATGAGGTAAGTCCTTTATGCTTTCAAAGAAAGGTAGCCACTGTTACTATCTCCATCGAATAGGTAAGAAAATTGAGTCTTGAGGAAGCCACGTCTATCATAAGCAGAAGGATATGATTTTTCCATCTGGGCAGCCTGACGCCAGAGGCTGCACCATTCTGCAAATTGAAGTTCAAGGGGAACGAAGACAGATGCGCATTCATGTCACTACTGATAGAAGAGAGGCTTTGCATGCGCCGGGTTTACAGCACAATGCTGCGTCTACCCCTGGGCTACTTATCACAATGTGTTGAGTTTATATTGACTTTTAATCTTTGTCTGACCAAGCAAGATCCAAACTCTTTGGGATATTGGCACCGATTGTTGATGGATGCTTTTGAGACATTGGGAGCCAATGCTAGGTGTCAGAATAAATAACAAATCTAATGCGCGTTGAATTAATCTTACAACTTAAAGCACCGGTTATTCAGCATGTCATAAATTTAAAACGCTGTGAATAAATTTGGCTAAATCTAAACATAAGCATTAATATAGTCACATAACCCTGTAAAAACATAGAGGTCACTGGAATCAATCTCTCTCTCTCTCTCTCTCTCTCTCTCTCTCTCTCTCTCTCTCTCTGTCTCTGTCTCTGTCTCTGTCTCTGTCTCTGTAAAAGTTGGAGTGCTTTAGCGTCTTTCCCGAGTTTCTTCTTCAAAAATTTTAGAGGAGAATCTTGCAAACTAATATTCACAGCGTAGTATGGCTTTGGGTCTTAACAAGAATGAACCTGATTTCAGGAGGCTCATCTGGGGGCTCGCTGTCATTCTGTAGTTTTATTTTGTATTTTTACTCTTCTTTAACCTTTTCAGGATCAAGGTATCCTATTTAGCCTTGAATTTCCGGTACGCAGCACAGTGTGTTAGAACAAATCTTAAAAAAAAAAAAAAGCTATTGAATGAATGAGTTATAGAGGGAATGGGTAGATGGACCTGGAAGGAGTTCAAGAATACGGTCATCGTGTTTGGACGCTAACACTGATGAGAAAAATCCAGAGACGTGCTAAATTAAAAGGGCTGGAAACCGGAGAGGAAATGAGAGCAGCGAGGGTGACCAGTACAGGAATGTGGGAATGGTGGTGAGTTCGTACAGACCCAGCTTGCCGTGTGTAACATACCACTGCAACCAGCTTAGAAGAACCTGCTAGCAATTCATGTAAGTAACCCCTAAGCACCATGTTCTTACATTTAATGGACTGTCCGTTATTCTAGCTGATCCAACTTGAGGTCATCCCGCTTTTTCATCGATAAATAATACAATTCCAATGTGAAGAAATTGTTCCTTCTTCCTCCATTTTCCTAGCTCAAGATTCCTGCTTCTAGGGTCACATGGTCACAGTGCTCTTGGTTTTTACCGCTAGGCATAGCAAAACCGTCCCGGGACCTGGTCTTTGCTGTTCTGTCCCCAATACCTTGGTTTTGAGAGTTTTTATTGTCCAGAACTTGGAAAGGATAACTAGTGATAACCTAATGAAGCTGGACCGAACCGTGCTGTGGGACCCACGCGAAGCCACCGAGAAGGGTCCAGAAGAACTCAGGATCCCACCCTCATTTGTCTTTCCACGAACAAAGACAAGAGAGTACGAGTCTTCAGGGTCTCAGAAGCATAAGTGTCCACTTGAGACAGGAGGGGCTTTAACCAGCCTAACGCTGCTAATATTTTGTGCTATTTGGGGATAGCTTGGTATTTGGGTATCGAGAGAATGTGACCAGGGTAGGTAGCAGTTTGGCGGTTTATTGCTAGCTCCAAACCTGGAAAGCAGATAAGGCTCTGGTAAGGTGGGAATTGTACAGGCTAACAGTGAAGTCGCAGGTCCCTGGCTTTAGCAGCTTATGCAAATAAATCCCGTTTTTTACACTCTTATACAGAAATGGAAGACGCTCATTTTTAAAAGAACAGAGACTCTCCCTCTTCGCTGCTTTTAGCAAACAATTGCGCTATTATTCATTCTGAGAGGAGTAACTAGCTAATTACAGCATGTCAGGAGCACTGTACGCAAGCCAGGGATTTGTAAGGCTGAGTCCTGCCTGCCTGCCTTTAAGGGCTTTTTGTTTTTTGTTTTGTTTTCTCATCTCTTCTTTCCTTTCCTTCCCCTTTGTTTCCCCTCAATATATCTCAGTCTCTTGACATTTTTACACTGCGATTACAGAGATCTCTCTTCATCCAAGCTACAAAGAAAGGGGATCAGCCTTTACTGGAAAACAATCATTTCAGGGGGTCTTTCAGTACAACTACCCTCCTCAAACAATGAACAGGGACGGAAAACCTCGCTCCCTGAATCACAGGGAAGAGGCAACTGTAAAAGTCCACGCGATGCTCCAAGCCCCAAGCAGAAGAAATGAAAGGTGGTACCTAAAATGACTGGCGTACATTTACCATCGACTCATGAATATTTGGGAGGTTCAACATTAATTTAGTCCGCTGCCTTACGAAAATGACCATCGTAAGGATGATCCGCAGTGAGTTAAATGGTCGGTCGTTCCCGTGTCTTTAGGAACGCCTGTCATCTGCCTAAGTGTGAGGAAGTAAACCCTGCCAAGGCACAGATTACTTATTCATGCGCCTGGTTTGTGGCTGCCTTCTAATTTCACTCGATTCGGTTTCATCTATTAAACATGGCTGACACATTGCTTTCTCAAGGTCCTTGGCTCCGTGACCATCTAACGTTCCCAGTCCACTTTTAAAGGACCCAGTCGTATAGCGGGTAGTGGGGCCTTGTGGTTTGCTTCCCCCAAGCCACTCTGTCTCCAGGGTTATGAAACAGACGCTCTCAGGCCTGGCCTGTAAAAGAGGCCAGCGCCTCTGTCTGTGCTCGCTGTAATGGATGGGCGCATTACGTTAATAACAGTAAAACAGCATGTACCTCTCGTTGGAGACTCCTGTGCTCCTTTAAACCCATTTACTCATTAACTCTCACGTTTCCTTTTGATGGAACTTGATTGTAAGTATTTTATCTGTGAAGAAACTTCCGTGTAGGAATGGATTCTGAATGGCGGAGGGAGGAAAACGAGGAAAGAAATGTGAAAATGTTCTAGAAGGGTAAACCATCTAAATTAAGGGCAGGAAAAATGTCAATCGAGATCAAACCCGGTAGGCCTGCCACAGTGCCACTTATGTGATGCTTTCCTCTTGTGGTCATGGCAACCCCAACATCCATGTCCATAATCATTACCCAGGATGCACTAGAATTTCAAAAAGTGGTAAGGTATATTTTACATTCCAACCACAGTTCCCTCTCCCTCCCCTCCTCCCCATCCTGCACCTCCCATCAACCTACCCCCATCTATTTCTCAGAAAGTGTAAGGCCAACCACAGGGAGTCAGTGAAGCTAGGCAGATTCAGCTGAAGCAGGACCAGCCTCCCCCGCCTCAAGGCTGAGCAAGGCATCCCACCACACAGAATGGAGTTTCAAAAAGTCAGCTCTTTCACTAGGGATAGGTCCCACAGCCAGGGGTCCCACAAACAGACCAGGCTACAAAATTGTGGCCCACAG